TCTTTAAATGCAAATGAGCTGCTGCTCCCCGCCCCTTTTCCAGAATAGAGCTGCGCCATTACAGCTAGGACCTGCTAAAAACATCTGTTTTGGTTCTGATTATCATGTTTATCGCGCTGAAATCATGCGTTTTAAACCATATGAGTTTAAACTTCTGATGTACGGTTTTCTGAGAGCACACATCCGAAGCACACGGACAGAAAGCTGCTGTCACAGCATGTGAGTACTAAACTAAGTTCTCATTCACACACAAGTTTACTTGAAAAACACATGAGTTACAAAAACAGTCGGTTATGTCTGTGAAGGTAAACTGCTGGGAAATAAATTGCATGTTTATTTTAGATCTGTGTGGCAGCAGCAGTAAATAAATCAATAAATCCACTGCTCTCTTGTCTCCTCTGAGGATGGGACTGTAAATAGTGTTCTGTGCTCGTCTGTGCAGCCAATGACAGAACAGTTAGCATGTTTTGCTCAAACTTTCGCCATGGCATTAGAACTGGTACACCGTGCTTGCGAAATCAAATGACGGTGCCGTGGGTGGAAACTTACAGATTAAGGGGCGGTAATATTATAATGAGATCCCTTTGCCACCAAGGGAGCGAAATCTGACATGCTCGTTTTTTCAGACTCTTGCAGAAAAAGGCTTACCAAAACAAAGTTACTGGGTTAATCTTTTTCACGTTTCCTTGGTTGTTATATGCACCGGGGACCTGATTATAGCACTTAAAACCTGGAAAAGTCAGATTTTCATGATATGTCACCTTTAAGGCATTCTGTGATTGACAATGCTTATGTATTTTCATGCTTATACCATTCTGTTCATATTCATACTTACACATTAAACTGACATTATATTTTTGAGTTTGTTTTTATTACAACCAGATGTACATATCAACATATAATAGTTTTGAATATTGTCTTGGACAAAGGGGACCTTGGAGTCCAGTAAAAGGATTAAGAAGTCCACATTCCTAGAGTTTTGTTTTTGAGACAAAAAACACTGACTCATTGCTGGAAGATAATATTTTACCAATCACTAATATTGTGTCATATAACTTTTTTTTTTTTTTTTGTCACTACAGAGACGATAACCAACTCTCAAGGTGCCTACCAGGATGCTTTTGGCATCAGTAAGAAGGAAATGCAGCCCACACACCCCATCCGTCTCGGACTGGCTCTCAACTTCTCTGTCTTCTACTATGAGATCCTCAACTCTCCTGAGCAGGCCTGCGCTCTGGCCAAACAAGTAGGTCTTTAGATGACAATACCACTCTGTTGCTATTTACCTAACTTATTGATTTAATTGCTGTATACATTTCTGACACTGTGTGTCTCATGCTTTAAAGGGATAAAGGTCCACCCAAAAATGAAAATCATGTCGTTCCATACCCATAAGTTTTTTGGTTAGTCTTAGTGCTGGGCAGTATACCAGTTCATATCGAATACCGGTCTTTATTTTTGCTATGAATTTTTATTATACTGCAATGCCGGTGTATGTCACTTAAACAACGTTCAGAATGCGGCGCAACACTGTTTGAGAGGGGTCCCTTTTCACTGTTGTACTGTGGTGAGCGCACAGCTGAATGTATTAAGCTGGCCAGGCCACACACTAGAGGATTTTAAGGCCGATTTTAATCCCGATTTGCACCCCCGAACGATCGAGGGGTGTGGCCCGATTCGCAGCTTGTCGCAAGCCATTTTTTGTCCAAAAATTCTCTATTGTTTGGTGTCATTACGATTATTTAATTGCTCCCGATCGAGATGGAGCGTCCCCGAACTTTTTCTCACACAGGCAAAGAGAAAGAGAGCAAGAGAGTCTTACATACCATGCAGAATTGACGCGCTACATGGAAACTATATTCTTTGTTGTATTTTGCTGTCAAAATAACAGCGTTCCTTTTGGAATTCTTCAGCTTTTAAGAACTGCCGGGTTTTCCGGTAGTGGGCGGAACTAATGTGCAAACGGCAATCTCATTGGCTGGCACTCACCTAATATCATCCCTGTTTTGATTTCAGCAAATCAGTTCGAGCGAACACACACAACGTGATCAATATTCATGAATCCAGCAGCTCATTAATCCTTAGTGCGTTATTAGCAGTAGAATTCGTAGTAGTATTGTTATCTTATCAGTATTTTTTTTTTAACTTTTTTACTTTTTTTATAGGAAAACTAAATGACAAACAATATCTTCAGTTAAAATGACAATTTTTAAGTCAATCTACTGCGGTATTTCCTCTCTCAATCAGTAGAAAATGTGGTTAACACCCGGTCATGCATGAAAAAAAATACCATCATATACTGTGAAACCGGTATAATTTTGGAAAATACAGTGATATAAATTTTTGGTCATATCACCCAGCACTAATAGTCAGTGTCAGATTACACAATTTTGACTCCTAAAATCTTGTCTTGTTGTGGACAAGAAACATGTCAGACTACACGTTGCTTACAGACCATTCATCGCGTGCCGTCTTTAACGACGCATGTGATGTCATCGAGAAGGCGGAACTAGCGACTGACTTCAGAAAACAAGAGTGTAAACATTGCTGAAGCGCTTCCTCTATAGTTCGCCAGCAGGTGTATGAAAGAGCATCTGTGCTGCTATTGGTCAATGTCACCAATGTGACAGAACTCGTCGTGGACGATGGAAAAAAAATTAAACACGCTAGTCTTTCTGTCGTGATGTCGTGAAGCTTCGCAGACGCGGAATCAGTTGTCGTCCACTATGACACACTACACATGCTGAAACAATGGAATCTTGCGTCCTGACGTCCATTGTCGTTTACGAATCCCGACGACACCCTATGTCAAGCAAATCATGGCAAAATTGGGCTAAAATCATGTAGTCTGAACCGGGCATTAGCCACCTATCCATAAAGGCCTTTAACATTAGCTTACATGTCAGGGACTATAGTTCTAGAACAATTTTTTAAATAATGGATTTGCTTAATAAAATGTATTAATTTTCATGTATTTTGTAGAAATATTTTAAAAAGTTCCAATATAAACGACACTTTTTAGCTGCATTTTATCTTATACTTTATTGCTTCAATACGAATCAACCTAACGAATCAAGAAGATCTGGGGTTTGAGGTACTATTACACTAGCTTCAAATGATGCAAAAAGCAAGCAAATTAAAAAAAAAAAGAAAGAAAAAAAAAAAATCAACAGCTGGCTTAGACTTCTTTGGAGTAAACTTTTACAAACTCATCCAACGAATGCACACACTCTTGAATAAAAGTTAGTCTGCCTGCTGGAGGCCTATGGATTTGCAGAGCAAGTAAACAGAACAGATAGTCTGTGGAATGCTATGTCTCAATAATTTGTATCCTGGAGCACAACTACCTTCCCCGATACAGGGAAACGAGGCACAGAGTGAATCTGAATGAGTCACTGAAGCCCTCAGCTACTTTCATTGCAAACTTATTTGCATTCGCTCACAAACACACACATACACGCTTACTTCAGAAGCAAACAAAGGGACCGCAACTGCTAAAAAAACTGACTGCGGATACATTTCATCACTACAAAATGTGTCATATATTACCCAATAAATTGCCCAGTTAAGTCAGAAAAACATGTTTTTTGTTATATAGTGACCCCAAAAGTATTTGGACACTTTTGCCACAGTTAAAACACATGAATATCATAGCATTATGTAACAAAATATCAATCCAAATAGCATTAATTTTAAAGAAACAACACACCTGATTATATATATATATATATATATATATAAGGTATTCAAAAAAATTTATTCAAGGTATTTGCAAAAGAAAAAAAAAAACGTTCTGATGCAGATGCAAATTATATTGATATTTGATATTTCTATGTAATGCAATGACATTTAAAAATATAAATGGGGATGCACTGATATTAAAATACTGCCCAGTACCTTCCAATAAGCTGAAATTAATTTTATTATGGCTGATAACAGATAAATGGCAGCTATTAAAAATCTATTCTATTTTGTCTAAATAAAAAATCTTTAGTTGTAAAATATTTGATGCTACAAATGAATTTAAGCATCACATTAAAATGTACAGTATGAAAAATGGATATGCGTACTGGATATAGATATGGATATGCGTAATGGATATCACATTCAACAGTATTATTATTAGTGTTTTTAAATATTAACTTTATGTGAGCATTAGATGATGTAATCTTAATGTAAAAAGAGGGGAAAAGAGCATGCACAATTAAATATCCAATATCGACCAAAATATTTATATCAGTCTTAACATCAGTCATCAATATCAGTCAATAAAAATAGCATGTGCATCCCTACATTTTAAAGTGTAACTATACTTTTAAGGTCTACTGTATATCAAAAGTTGCCAATACAGGAGTAAAAAATGCTGCATAGAAAACTCACGCTGACAGTAGTCCTTGTTTTCCTCAAAGCCTGGCTTGCAGACACAGCGTCCAATGGGCACCAGCCATCCACCATCTCCACTGCAGACCATCCTCGGCGCCTCAAACTCCTCCGAGTCATTCACACAAGATCCCCTAACCTCCACCAAAGCCGAATCTCCCCCAGTCACCGTGTCGGGAAACTGGGCCAAGTTCAGAATGGCAAGAGGACACTTCTTATAGAAGACCCTCAGGGACACCAAAGCGATGCAGGCTCCAACATCTTGGAAAGCCAAGTAGAAACCCTTCTTGCTCAAGTTACTGATGTCCCTCACTTCTGTGTTTAGTTTCATAACGCGATCACCCACGTCGGTCTGCGTGAAGCTCTCATCGGCCGCGATAGTGTCGATCTTTATGTACTGGCTTTCTTTGATAAACCACAGGTTGGGGTTGTTGGACTCGTAGTAGTACATATTGAAAGTTTCTTTGCAGGTGCCAGGGACTCCAGGCAGACTGTTGCAGTCACGCAGGGTGAACTTAATCTCGATGTAGACGCGCTGCGCTCCATCTCGTGGGATGTGGCGAGTGCGTAGCCAGTTGTTCTGATTAGCCTCCATCACATTACACACCTGGTAGGAGCGCATGGGGGTGTTCCTCTCATCCATCACACTGATTTCCTCCCACTGCAAAAGACAGAACAACTGTTATGGTTGCAAGAATGTGCTAACGTTTTTCACAATTTTAATATGAACTGTGGCATTTCTGTCTCAAGTTTATTTAGTGGAATAAACGTATTTTATCTTTTAGAAACTTTGGTGTGTGTGTATTATATATACACATACAGCATTTAAATACACATTAAAATTAATACTTTTTTCAGCAAGGATGCATTAAATTCATCAAAAGAGACAGTAAAAACGTTATAATGTTAGAAAGGATGTCCATTTCAAATAAAGTATGTCCTTTTGAACGTTATCTCTAGTTATCAAAGAATCCTGAAAGAATGCATCACGGATGCTCAATATTCCACAAAAATATTATGCAGCACAACTGTTTTTAATGCTGATAATAGTATGAAAAGTTTCCTGAGCTAAAAATCAGCATATCAGAATCATTTCTGAAGGATCATGAGACACTAAAGATTTGAGTATTGAATGCTGAATATTTAGCTTTGCTTTCAAAAGGAACAAATTACATTAAAAATGTTTTAAAATAGAAAACAGCTATTATAAACTGTTATAAAATTTCACAATATTGCCTTTTTTACTATATGTTTGATATATATATATGTCAAATAAATGCAACCTCGGTGAGCATGAGACTCTTAAGTACATTAAAAAAAAATAAAAAAAATAAAAATCTATTTTTGCATGCATATTATGTAAATATTTGTTATATATTATTTCTATTTCATGTATCTCTATTTCATCATGCATTTCTATATTATTTTTATTTCATTTATGGGACACAGTGTGCCTCAGCTAGTTAGGTGCATGTGTGTATATCTCCAGTATAGGCAGCAGTAGATAGAGTATGTTTAAGGGACTCGTCTCCCATCATCTCTTGCCATCTGCTTCCACTTGTCTAAGGTTCCTTCATTTGGAACACTTCATGCATAAGTAACATTTCACTCCTTAAAGGGAGAGAAAATAAAAGGGAGTCTTAGAGGGGTGGGCAATTTCTTGAATGGCTGCTTCTCAAAAAAGATTCTGATTTGCTTCAATAAATTCTATTCCTTCTCTGTATAATTTGCAGCAGAAATGAGCTGAAGGACCACCGGCTCAGTTCTAAGTGATTTTAAGGATTCATTCCAGCTTCTGATCAATCAGCGAGTAACATACAAGACTTCAAATACTAAGAATTCAGAAATTGTTGCTTGACCACTTGAGTTCCCACTTGGAGACATTCCTCATCATTTCTGCTCAAGATTTCTTGAACAGTGCGTGATGGGAGCAATCCACTGTGACTGCAAGAAGACAGGGAAAGTTAAAGCTGGTTCTTTTAAAGAGCACTATGTACTTTTGAAGGACTAGTTTGCATAAAAATAAAAAGTCTGTCATCTTTTACATAACCTCATGCTGTTCCAAACCTGTATGACTTTTTTTTCTTCGGTGGAACACAAAATGAGAACTAACCACTCTTTTCCAATTACAGTAAATGCAGACTGGAGCTTTCAAACCCCCAAAAAAGGGTGTAAAAACGCCATAAAAGTGATCAGTACTGACTAGAGCAATTTTTTTCCTGAAGCCATGCAATGCTTTTCTATGAGAAACAGCTAGTATCTGTGTCAGGATCATCTACAAATGTTTCTTTTGATTCAAATCTTTTCAACAAATAGGTTGATACAATCAATCTGAATGATTTTTTTTTCATGAATCAAACCCAATGACATAATGATTCAGATACCACAGTTAACAGATCGACTTTCAGTCTGTTCATCATACAAAAAGGGTGACACTTAAAAAACAGCATGCAAATCCTTTAAACTTTTTATGATTATGGTACTTTTGTTTTCTTTATGAAGCTTTACAGCTCCAGTCCTCAATATTCATAATTGAATGGCAAAGAGCTACCAGTACATGAAATATATCCTTTTGTGTTCCAAGGAAAAAGCAAAGTCAAATGGGTTTGGAACGAAACAAGGGTAAGTAAATGATGATAGCATTTTCATTTTTGGGTGAACTAATCCTTTAACAACCCTTAAACTGATTGGCAGCTGAATATGGGTGCACATTTAAGCAAATGGTCAAGGAGACAGAGTACATCAGAATGTCTTCAAAAGAGCCATTTTCCACATCAGCGCAATCAAGCATTTGAAGTATTTTATTCCATGCGTCAGCAGAGTCTGGAGTGCACATCACTTTCTAACCATGATGTCATAGCAACAAAGAGAGCGTTTATGACACGTTGCCATTAGCTTATAGCTTGAAAAAAGTGATCGAGGCACGAGGGTCAATTGCTAGCGCAGTCTGGCTTTAAACTGAGCCATATGCTGACTGGTGGGAATGGGCGGACAACATTACAGATCAAAGCGACACAGCCACTGAACGTCTTGGGTACGTTCTTTCCCTTCAAGTGCAATAATTATGACTTTTGAAGGAATATTTATACAGGGATAAAGGCAGGTTTATGCATTTCTGTTTATTTATTTTCAAAACTCGGTCTGAACCCAACCGCTACGGAAAGTTTCTTTGGAAGCGCATTGTCTGAATTCATTAAGTATTTTACCACAGATGGGTGGTTATGCAAAAGTCTAGAGGGTTGTGTTACACACTCCAGATCTCCAGGCGCGCTTATACAATTTAGTTACGCATTTTAGTATGCCACGATAGGGCACAGCCATCTGAAAGGAAATTGGCCATGTGCAGTTGATATATTCGTGAACGAAACTAGCAAACCTTTTAGCAAAAGCGTTGCAGCTAGTTCCACACACACTCACAATTGTTAAGTGAAAAACAGGTTATTTGGACAGGAGGTAAAGCTTAGCCACTCTCAATCAATGTAGCGGTCATAAGTGTGACGTGGGCGTCTTGTTAATTAGCATCTCCAGCTGTCCGCTTCCCCTAGAGTCTCATCTGAAATACCTTAACTCCATTCCCCCATCACCCTTCTCAAGGTCTGACCGCTTTGAAGCCAAGCAACTATGTCAGATCAGGGGGTCTGCTTAGCCCTTCATTGGCTTAACTTAATTGCAGGCCCACAATCATCTGGTATTTAAGATACTTAAGTGCAATTGACTTTAAATCCCTAAAAGAACGTCTGTTTTTTGGGCAGAAGGCCTCTTTTGGAGGACATGTTATTAGGGTTACCTGTTTTCTATCACTCTAGGTGAATTACTCCCTTCTATTTTAGTAACAGACACACACACATACCCTAAATGACTATGGCCATTTGATAGCCGATCCAAAGCAAACCTTCCACATCTGGGACAGGGAAAGCTGTATTAGTCTTGACCTGCAAAGGTCAAGTGGCAGTCGATTGAGTCAGTAAGGTAAATATCCAGCGGAGGTGAAGCGGCCGCTTTGGGAACATGTCGGCTTTCCTGTGAGCCGCTCCACAACGGCGCACCGTCTGCGGGTTCAGTGGGTCACGGGTCGCCGCGATAATCCTCAAGTATGAAACGCAGACTGCAACTGTGAGACCTGATTTAGCCTTACAGTTCACTCCCATTAAATAACTGCCATACCAGCAAAACAAAGAGACTCCTACTATCACTGAATCTAAGGTAAACACCGCACGAGGACAGGGAGGAATGTTCTATGAAGAGTTTAACAGACGTCATTGATACAGGCCAATTGGAAGCGACTCTCACAGTATGTGGGAGTCACCCAATCCAGTAACTAAAGTCTCTTAGTTTGGATTGTTAAACTGATAATTTATGGCTAAATTTGGTTAGTGGTTTGTTGTAGAAATGAATACTATCTATTTAAAAGCTACTACACACGTTTGAATAAGACAGCATTGGGACATCTACAACATCTCCCCTTTACACAGGCTGTAAGACTTTTTTTCTTTAGCCGATTTCAAAATGAATGGTTAAATGGATTATATATATATAAAAAAATCCATGGTATTGAGGGCTGCAGGAATGAGCCCTAAAAGCATTTTTAAGCATTTTTGCACTTCAGGTTCAATCCGCCCAATGTCAATGGGTTTTTGGTTAAATGCCTGAAATAAGGTCTGTAGTTAACACAAGTTCAAGGTATTTTCGTGGTTTATTTTACATTAAATACATCAGTTATACTGGACAAGTGATTCTTTTTAAGCACTTAAAAAAAGATGTTTGATAACAAGTGGCTAAATGGGACTAATAGAGGCTGTCGAGGATGTTAAACATCACGCCAAACAGGAAAAATCTTTTACGCACTAGTACTCTTTCATAGTCTGTTTATACTCACACTCTTGCAAACTTTCCTAACCAAAACATTTCAACTTGTAGACAGTAAACAAAGAATGAGTTGTTGGGAAAAGTAGTGGTGATGTAGGGTATTTCATTTATAGCCTAACTTTAGCTTTTTACTTCTGGTGATTGTAATTAGGCTTCAAAATTAATTAAAGTTGTGTTCATTTTTGATTATATTGATAAACAAAATATGCAAAAATCATGAACTTGTGTTAATCACAGAGCTTATTCTCGGTAATAATCCCAAATCTAATGGAAAAATTGCAATGGCTTGTCACCCGGATTGGCCTACAAAAATCAGCATTCTATAAAAAAATTAATTAAAAAAAAATATTGAAATCAGTAATTTTATGCTTTAGATGCCATCATAACCCTGTAATGTAAAGTAAAAAAAATACATTATTGACTTTTACTAAAGAAAAATGTATTTATTAAATTATAAAAAACAACCTTCTAAAAGATTTACTAGCATTTGTAGGTCTTTGTTGTGATTGTGCACGATCCATTTAAGGTACACTCTAAAAAATGCTGGGTAATTTTTTAACCCAAATGCTGGGTTCAGCCTGTTGGGTCATTTTATTGGGTTGTTTTTAATATTTATACCCAGGTGTTGGGTTATTTTTTTTAACCCAAATGCTGGGTTCAGCTTGTTGGGTCATTTCATTGGGTTATTTTTTATATTTTACCCAGGTGCTGGGTCATTTTAATGCTGGGTTATTTTTTCTACCTAACTGCTGGGTTGAGCTTGTCTCTGGTGAAACTTCTCAACAATGCAGCTGCTGAGAGCACGGGCTTTCTAAGTCCACAGGAGAGAGAGGTTCTCAGCGCCGCTGCCGCTGCCGATTTGCTGCACTCTTTCCGGGAAATAAAGGTTTGTATACATTTTATTTCATTTATAAAGTCTTTAATGTGGTGTAAATTATATTATTTTACGCAACTCAACATAAGGACGAGATGTCAGTCAACTGCGTCAGCACTCAGCAGCAGTTGTTTCACGCTGGAAACGCCTTTGCCTTGCATAACATAAATGGATTTTATTCGTTATAATACTGAGTGCAATTTAATTTGATGTTAAAATATGTTCTCTAATTTCTAATCTGTTTGTTTTTGAACAGGTTTTGGAGTCAGTCACGCCATCTCTCAGCTACGAGTGAAACGTGAAGCCACGGTCTGAAGTTCGCTTCACCGGCTCAGATTTCGGCGACACACCAGCACGAGAATTAGCACTATTTCGGTAAAAAGCGATTACAGAGAACGGTTGAATACACTTAAATTAAAATGCTACTTTTAAATGTGCCTTTTTATTTCTAAAATGCTTGTTAAACGAGTTTAAATGTATGTAATATTGGAAACTATGCTGTATTCACCCAAATAAATTCAATTTGTCTTGTATTTTGTCCATGGGTGTTTTTGCTTAATAATAAATGTTCATCTTTTGATTATTGCTGTTGCCTATAGTAATTATGTGTGTGATTTTTAATTTCCAGCCCATTTTAAGCCAGCAATATAATAATTTTTAAACAATAGATGACCAGCTTGGTGGGTAAAAATGTTTAACCCAAACAGCTGGGTTAAAATAACCCAGCATGTTTTCTGTCCAATATTTACCCAGCGCTGGGTTGCCAAATAACCAGAGTTGGGTTGTTTTTAACCCAGCATTTTTTAGAGCGTAGTGTTAGATGGTAGTAATAGTACTCTACAGTGTAAAAAAGGCAGTAACAAGCATTCACAATTAATGAAAACACTAATATTGGTCACTAAGTGATATGATCCCGATATGCATCCCTGAAACACAAATTCCTATGCTGCGTACTACGCAGGACAGATAGTATGCAAATTGAAATGCAGTCGTAGAGAAACAGCCCTCTGTAGACGCTACAGTCATCTGCTGAGAAGCTGGTGATGGGTTCACTCACACTACAGCAGCGCTCAATCCCACTACAACAATCCAAACACACCAAGCCGTTTACAAAAGCTAATCTCCTCTATATAAATGTAAGAGACCTGCAAAGAATACTGTGACTATTAAATATGACAAATCTCATAACTCCTAAGTTTGGCTTATACATCCTGTATCTGTTTTGAGGATCTTGCTCTATAGCGTTTGCATTGTCTCCACAACTTTACTTTTAAATGTCATTCAATATTCACATGCTCGGGTGAGGCAGCGGGTTTGAGTTATTGACAATGTATCAGCCTGTTATGCAATGCAATACTCTGTTATGCAAGTCTAATGTTTCTTGTTTTGAGAAGGGGTACAGACTTCATGTCTGTGGTACTATTTTCAGCAAAAAATCATTTGTAAATTCCGCTCATCTCCAGATTTAGCTGATTTAGTTAGTCTCGTTGACGCGTGTGGGGCACAGACAATCTGATCTAGCTTCTGACGGCTCTATTAAATCATTTAAAAGGCGGCTGTGAAATCCCAAAGATTGATTTTCTTTTAAGCTCACCATGGTTTTTGCAAACTCAATTATTTTTAGACCACTTTGGGCACCTCAAAAAAGACAGAACAGGCCTTCTCTACTCAAAATAAAGGCTCCTTCTTTTGCTCTCTGGCTCAGGGGATTGTGTTCCTGCTTTAGAGACTCTTAATCTTGACGTCTTCCTCAAATAAATTGGAAGTAAGCGACCGGGGAAGTTGGTGTTAAGCCGAACATGAACGCCTCTTGGCTGGAAACAGGTCTAAGCTCACTAGACTCCACATGACCTTGACACCACATCCTACAATTTACACACACACAAAACAGTGGCTTCTATTTATAGGAACTTGAGAACGTTCTTACAGCCTTTTTTCATTCCCATGAGCCCGATGAATGCTGTATCCACTCTTATGAATATACATGCGCAGGTCGGGTCTAACCATATGCAATTCCAGCACATCTGAAACACGACAGTGTGATTACAGATGATTGTTTGCAAGAAAACGTGCTAGAGGGGTTCAAAAGTGTGTCGAAGCCCAGGAGCATAGATTCATTTTAATTTTAAAAAGTTCGTCCCTGCATGGTTCAAATCATTTTGTGTAAAACAGGCGCAGACAAAACGCACCATAATTTGTGCTGGGTGCAAGAGTTAGAATTGATTGAAGACATTTGGGGGGCTTGTGTGTTTGTGTCTTGATTTGGTTGTGTTACTCACCCCTTCAGCTGGATAGGCCTCCCAGCCAAGGTCTCCCAGAGCAGACATAGTGTCCAGCAATGTAACTAGAGAGAAAGAAAGAGAAAGAGCACATAGGGGAGAGAAAAAAAGTAATGATTTGTTAAAGTTCACTCAACCTCGTGACATATTGTGAGCAAAACAAGCCGGTTAGATGAGATTGCATATTTGGCAAGTAAATCACAGAGCAGTTGCAGACAATCAGGTCTGTAGCCGGAGGGACGAGAGTCTAGCCCCACGGTCTAAATCATTCCCACAATGCCCTCCTTCATCCAGCGGAGAAACCCAGTGCTGGGAACCCATTACGAGAGAAAGACTGTTTTGTAAATCAGATATATCAATAAAAACACATTCATGTCTTACACAGCATTACCAGCAAAACAAAGTTTGCCCTCGATTGCAGTATTGATGGTTTTCATTTCATTTCATTTTCATTTCTGGAGTATATATGTGTATGCGTGTGTATGCCAAGGGGAATGGGTCAACAAAACATCTTAAAAGGCTATTTAATTTCTCGTACTAGTCTTTTTCTTCATCGCACAGCAGGTTGCAAACTGTGTTTTTCTGTTATGATCTACATTCCACGGTAAATAATGTCTTAGCATCTACAGCTATTAATTTTTAATCACCTCTGATGTTGCGTTTTCACATTGAGGAAAACATATACATGGCTCATTTGATAAAGTGTTGCAAACCATTTTCTACATTTCAATACTACATTTCATGAACAGAATTAAAAGATTTATTTAATTATCAAAACACTGATTTAGATATATTTGATTCCCATATAAATATGGTGGTACTGTTTTTGGTGTTACCAGCTGTCACAGTGGCATTACAGAAATGAACTGAACACAATCAGAATTTAAAACATCATTATTAAAATGTCATATATGTATATTATACATTTGAATAATAAATGACATATTAATACTGTTATTAAATAGTGTTTTATAATAATTTAATAATTAAAATTATATTGAAATAAAACTAGAATTATCAATCATTACATTATTCTTTTTAGAAAAAAATAATGCAGCCTGACTGACTGATATACACTCACTCACACACGCACACACACACACAACACACACACACACACACAAACAGACAATCACAACAACTTCTAGTCAATACTTCCGGATATCAGCATAACGAAATGCTGAGCACAGCGTGTTTTTTTATATTGGCACACATGCAATTTATTGGCATGCAGATCTTAAGTGGTTTAATAGCCTTGTTTGTCTTTCACCCTCTTGGAAGTCAATGTTTTAACTGGATTTGTCAAAAAAAAAAAAAAAAAGGGAAGACTTAGCTGTTGTGTATGAAGCGGAGTGGCATGTGTGTTTGATTTATAGTGACAGTGCAGTGTTGGTGTAAGATTAATGGAGTCATGTATCATAAATATTTTCCCACAGACTGACTGTAATCCTTAAGTGGTGAGAGGGATCTGCTCTACCTCACATACTGTGCACTGCATAAAATGTACAAACAACTACAGCGACACAGAGCTGCACATTCAAAGTGTTTAGCCAATCATAGAAGAGGCCTTTTAAATAAAATGTATTTAATAGAAATGTTTTTGCCTATATAGCCTAATATTATATGTACATAAAATACAAAATAAAACAAACAAAAAAGTGTTCATATGGAGTGATTCAGAGAAGCCAGATTCATCTCCCCTCCTCCTCCTCTCTTCTGTCCCCATCTAAATCCTCTGGATTGATGAGGAGCGCTTTTCCAAAGAGCTCTATGCCTGATGCAACACATTACGCCCTGGTGACAGTGACATATGTAAATAAATAAAGTTGCAGCGAAAGTGTGTCAGAGTGTTTGCTGAGGCCATTTGCTCAGTGAACAAGTACCCTTTTCGCTGAGGAAAGGTCGCTCTTTAAAACTACACACAACAGATAAAGAGCATTTCTGTGGTCTCTGTTTGGTTAAACCTAGTGATTACGGATGGACGGACAGACGGACGGACGGACGGAAGATAGATAGATAGATAGATAGATAGATAGATAGATAGATAGATAGATGGAACATCTATGGAACATGGAGCCTCCTTGTTAGTGTACCTGCCTCCCATGCCGGAGACCCGGGTTCGAGTACCGCTCGGACTGGGTGCGAGTAGGACCCGAGAGAGAGGGGTTATAGATTGATAGAATGACAGATAAAACGATACTCCATGTTCCATAGATGGAACATCTATGGAACATGGAGCCTCCTTGTTAGTGTACCTGCCTCCCATGCCGGAGACCCGGGTTCGAGTACCGCTCGGACTGGGTGCGAGTAGGACCCGAGAGAGAGGGGTTATAGATTGATAGAATGACAGATAAAACGATAGATAGACAGACAGACACCCAACCTTCCTAATTTCTCATCTCTTTGTCTCTTCTGTTCTTTCTTACTCATCTCACTCTATTTCTCTGTCCCTGGAGAAGTGAATTCATCTGCAAGTGTAACTCTAACTTGACTTGCTTTCTCACATCTAAAAGACTGTTGTCCATTTGTGTCCCAACCCTGCTCATATTAATCATCCAATAAAACCTGACACAAAACACTATCCATGACTCGATACCAGATCAAAGCCAGCAAAACACTTTACAGTAATATTCATATATTGCCTCATCTCACACTTCTGACAAATAAAACACTGCCTTCTCACACACTTCCATCGCCTTACATAAAATGGGTCTGATACTTTACCGTAAGAATATATAAGGATTCATGCTTGCTGCAGAGATACATTTCTCTCTCAACACAACATGTGAATCATTCTCTGTTGTCTGCAGGAGTAGACTGCATGGGCTCTTCACAGGGTTTGGTTTCAAACAGGCATGCTCATGTATTGATTATCGTCGGCGGGCAGCATTGTACATGGGCAAGAAAAGCAGAGAGACTGTGGGACCATGTTACTGGAACAGGACGCCCCAGAGACAAGCTAGAGTCCACTCCAGGATTTTATTGTGATAAATCATTAAATACGACACTTTTATCATAATCCATTGATCTGTTGCACTTTTAGTTCCTTGCATCAGTGAATCTCTAAAGGAAGCATATGGAGAGGAAAATGTTTGTTATTTTCTGGCATACATAAAATGGGTTTTAGCTGCCAGGCTGAAAAAATGGCAGATATTTGGGCAGTTTAAGGTTGTGTTTACACTTGGCAGGCTTGGTTTGAATAAAACAGACTCTGGTGTGATTGCTCTATTAGTGTTGTTCATTTGAATAAATGTGAAGGTTGCCATCCTGAACCTTGGTGCTCACAGAGTGGACCGAGATCCACTTTTTCATGTTTGGTAAGTTTAGTAAGTTTGCAAAATATACGTCACAAAAGCTGTCCAATTAGGTTGTGATCTAATCCTTATGCTTTTTGTTTTGTATCTTTAGGTTTGTGATAAAAAATGATAGTGTGAACCCTAAGTGAACCAGGACTAAATATATCATTTTTCTTTTTTGGTCCATACTAAAAGAATCAAGAGATCCAAACAACAAATGTAAACACACCCTAAGATGATCAGCATTGGACGATAATGGGCGGTTCACACCGGCAGTGATTAAAATTGCTTGAATCACATAAATGGATTAGGTCGCATTTAAGGAATTGCTAATGCACATTTTCTTTTTTTAATATTTGAATGAATTTAACTTCAGGACATTTATGTACATCACATTAAAATTTTAAATTATATACTGTCTGAATGTTTGAGGTCAGTAAGGTTTTTTCAGAAAAAAATTTTTTTTTTTCTTTAAAAAAATATTTTAATAAAAAAAAAATATAATTTTAACTTCAGTAAAAAAATTAAGAAAAAAATAAAATATATATATAATTTTATTTTCCAGCAAGGAGGCATTCAAGAAATCAACAGTAAAATAATTTATAAATAAAATACAAATACTAAAATAAATGCCATTAAATATTTAGAAGCTGTTTTCAACATAATAATAATAGAAATGTTTCTTGAACACCAAATCAGCATATAAGAATAATTTCTGATAGATCATGTGACACCAAAGACTGGAATAATGGTGCTAACAATTCAGCTTTGCCATCAAAGGAATAAAATATGTTTATTAAAACAGACAAAAATGTATTTTAAACTGTAATCTTTAATAGTATTACAGTTTTTACTGTATTTTCATCAAATTAATGCAGACTTGCTAAGCACCTCCTTCGAATTTTTGCACATTAATAAATTATTCAAAATCTCTGAATTCTTCATTAATCTACATGCTTTCTAAGAAAATTCTCTGGCTGTCCTCTGGCATCGGCCACTGAAAAACCAATTTCACTCGCTCGATCACTAGCATAACAACACACATCCAGAAATTGAGACCAACATCAAAACTGTTCCCTTTTTCATTCTCGTTCTCTCTCTTTATCCAGATCCCCCATGATGCTCGCTTTCTCTCTCTCTCTCGCCTGCTGTTGAAGTACTTCAAGCCAGTGGTGATTACGGACGCTTTGAGTGGGGAGAGCTCAGTGTTCCTCTGGCTGTGATCTCCACTTCCATCCCCTTTCGCTTTCTAATCCCGGCGGCAGAGCTGCTTTAATCTACCTGCCAGCAATCAAACGCCCCACCAGCCCTTCCAATACCTTAGGCAGAGCCGCACGACTTCACAATGAGGGCGGCAGCCAAAAACACACGCTTTGTCACAGGTGTGAATATACGGACTGCCTACTGAAAAGCAGAATCGATATAAAGATAAAAAGATGTATTGAAACAGCCTACCTGTAAAACACATTAGGCCTAAAAACAAAGTTTATAATAGATAAAGCACAAAAACACACACACACACACACCTCTGAACCTCTCTGATGCATTTCTCCATCTGAATGAGGCCATCAATGGAGCTTAGAGTCTTTCGTTCCGCTCTAAGTGGCAGGGGCCAGAGTGTTGTCGTGGTAACAGGGAGGTGTACTGGGGTACAGCAAGGGGGAAATTGAAAATTTGTGGATCTTGCTCCAGTAAGACATTAAGGAATGCTGGAGTCGGTGCGGTTCGGTCAGCCCTCTCCACGCTGGGTCACTCGGCAGCCAATGGCA